CAGGGACTCTTGCAACCTGTATTCTGTGAGCTACCACATGGTTGTAGTACTTTCCTGAAGACGCTGCAGGTTGTCAGAGTAATTTTAGTGTCCAATATAGTCATTCGGTTATGTGGGCAGTCCAATATTTGGCTAAGGAACTGCTTCTCCATTTGAGGTAATCAGGCATAAGAAGATACACTGGTTGAATAAATGGCCCCAATATTTGCATTAATTATTGAATGTCCTGGAATATATACAACAGAGAAAATAACGTGAAATTAACATTCTTACTAATGCGCAACACAGTTTTGTTTGATGAAGGGATACATCTGGTCCATCTTATAGTCAGTTTGGAACGTAATAAGGCAGTGATATAAGCATGACTTCATGGTTAAAACTCATGGGCGAATGGCTGTTATAGATAAAAATGTGAGCTTTAAATATATAAAATGTATATATGGCTATTAGATAATCTTAATGCTAAAATGAGCTTAAATAAGATGTGAAAGCTTCAAAAATGTTTTTGTTCAGTTAACATTAGTTATGTGGCTAAAGAATGAAAATAGCAATTTTGTTAATTTAAAAAATAATTACTTAATAAATTGGCCACTCAGCAATAGCCAGTAAATATTATTATTTTATTAACATAGTTTCAGAATCTCTGCACAAAGAAATAGAATGAAACAACCTGATTTGGTGGAGAGAATTAATTTTAAACTAATTTTTGATACAAAAACATTTTCCTTCCAAAAATTAAATAAAATTTTATTTGAATTAGTGAAAAGTGCAAAGCAATTGAAAGAAAATGAAGGGGACAGTTCACCTTCAGATAAATGCTTTTCTCACCAAAAATATTCAGGTAAATCATAGTGAGGATGAACTGAGCCAAGGGAAGTGTAATGGGGAGAAAGGCATCCATTTTGCTCTACTGTTAGGCCTTGGCCTTCCATACATTTTCAGTGAAACAGTTAACTCTAAGTCTTGAGAGAACTATACAGATTTTTAGCAGCAGGCCATTAAATTCCCTGACAGGCCTTGACAGCTTTCTCATACTCTGAGAGAGGTAGGCAAATACCTAGAATAATTAGATTACATGCTCCAGTGGGATGATATAAAAAAAAGAAGAATATTTTCAGAAGAACTAGTCATGATGTTCAAACAATTTTGATTTTTAAAGTTCTCAGAAAACTGAAGATGACATCTCACAACCAAACTTCTACATATCAAAGAGATTGTAACTTTAGTCTATTTCTATTCAAATCAAGTCACAGAAAAATAATGAAAAGTCAAATTGGTAGTATTCATAGAAGTCTGATTAAACACCTAAAATATAACATCTGTGAAGCAAAATTCAGGGGAGATGATGTCCTGCAGCAGAAATAGACAGGTATGTGTGCGCCTCCAGGGAATTACAGCCAGCTCCTGTGTCTCAGCATGGCATAGCTCTATAGATCTGCATTCTCAGAATTCAAGAGGCTGATGCAGGAGGATCACAAGTTCCAGCATAGCTTTGATTGAAGAGTAAATTCCAGGCTTAATGACAGTTCAAGACTACGTCTAAAACATTATTTCTAGTAACTTCTCATGTTTAAGATGATATTGTCCTGCTTTGGGGATATAACTTGATGTCAGTAGATTGCAGAATAAGTATATCGCAAATAGAACATGTAAAAATATCAACATGTAAAAAAAATAATTACATGCATTGAACTGTCGAGTGACTGAATTCAATAGTGAGATATTCAAAAGTACGGAAAATCATTTTGAAAATACTAAGATGTAAGAAATGTCAATTTTAAATTAATACCTGTCATATTTAATTTATTACCTATAATAACTGCATTGACTCCTTTTATTCATGTGCGATCTAATAAATTTCCAGTAACACTTCTGATGCTCATTATTTATTAGTGAGAACTCATTTTAAATATTGCTTGAAAAAGAAGCATCTGTACACTACAGATTTTATATCAAGCATTTTAACACATTCAAAACTTATAACAGCCAATGTATTATTAAAATAGAAATAGATTTTAAATTTTTTCAAATTTTCAATTGGCAGAGGAACCAGGCTGATTATTTATATATTTTTTCTAATTAATTCAATCGATCCTATTATCATTATAAATAATAAGTTCACGTGCAGTTTTCCCAACTTTTTCAAACTAATTGTTGACATGAGGAAATACAGTACAGGCCTTGGATGCGCCCCAGACTCTGCTATAAAATGGGAGACCCTGAAACAAAACAGGATTACAAATACTTCGTTTGTAGGAAGTATTTGCACCCTAGAGACATTGAGAGTAAGTACTATAACAAAGAAACAACTAATCAGATATATACTTCCAGTAGACATATTCATTAGATCCTGTAAGTATGTGAATATGTGTATGCTAAAGAGAAGAACAAGAAAAAAAAGAAGATTAAGTTAATATGGATAAAAAGAAAACTTTGCGTTTAATCCACCCATGGTCAAAATTTAGAAAACAAGTGATCATGGACTGCTCAGCACCAATTTACATTTACAGCACATTCCCCACAGCTAAGGCTTAGATAACATAGGAGGAGAGAGTGGAGCCAGAGGACCCCGAAGTCTGCAGTGAGACTGTGTCTCCTAGAAATGACTTGGAAGGTATACCCATAATACGTCAACAGCATGGCATCCTAAACAAGACAAGAACAACTACCACACCAATAGACAGGCATATGTGGAAGGAAGGAATCTCAGGGAACCCCATCCCATAATAACCACAATGACTGCTTTATGTATTATCTGATAAAATTCCCATCTCAATTATAATGTTCATTATTAATCACCAGGAATCTCATTTTAAACATTTCTTGAAGAATATCTTTTCAAGATGTAGGCTGTCAGTGTGTGTGTGTGTGTGTGTGTGTGTGTGTGTGTGTGTGTGTGTGTGATTTAAAAAGTGGTCATGAATTTGAGGGGTGAGGAGAGTGTGAGAGGAGTTGAAAAGAGAAGGGGTAAATTATATAACTGTATTTTTAATTGCAAAAACTAAATTTAAAAAAGAATTCAAATTCACATAACTTAGGCAAATCCTTGGCAAATTGGTTTTTGTTTAGTTATTTTGACACTAAAAGCACAGTGTTCTTGGACTCATTAAAAAACTACTCATTAAAAACTACATGAGACTAAACATGTCCTTTTAGCTTAACAAGGATGAGTCTTCCCTGGTTTTGTCAAGGAAAAGTTCCATGTAATCCGCTAAGAGTTGGGAAGGATGGAAAATTTGATGTTAAAAGTAAGGAAAGATTTTTTTTCTCCGAGTATTGTCCAACTAATGGATATTTGCTCCTACAGGTATCAGCCATTGCATAGTAGCCTTGGTTCTAAAACAACACAATTCTCTCTGCTCTTAGTGAACTTCGTAGAAGAATGTGTTTAAATACTGAGGGGAAGTGAGTGATGAGGAAAACAGGAACATATCCTGGGTGGATGTATGTAATCTTACTGTGCTGCAGGTGAGATTGTCACTAGCTGGGTAGAGGCTTTGTTTGATGTCAGACGGGAATTAGAGGAGGAGTTCCTTATGAACCAACAGCAAAGCTTTTTACAGAAAAGAAGCACAGCAGTTTACCTCACAGACTGGGAGTTTGTAAACAAAACTGTGCATTTCACTTATGAAAGAGGGTTTGGTTTTTCTGGGCACGGGGGACTTTGAATATGCACAAGCCACTTACCATGAGCTTCAAAGTATGCCTGTGTTACAGCTCCTTCCACCCCTACAGGATGTTAACCTGTTACTATAATGAAGCTACAACTAGCAAGAACAGTCCTCTTGGCCAGTATGCCACCATTTTGGTTGCTGGTGTTTGCTGGTTCTTGTTAACTTTCTCCTTTCCTGCTTGCTTATTGCCTAGGATGCTGCCTCCTGGCCCTCCGCTGGAATAAGAGGAGTTTCTTCTGCTTCCTTTTAGAACCAAAGTGCACAGGATCCAAATTCCATATAGTGGGCTAAACTTTTGCAGGTGGGTGACATGGCTGGCAGAATGGGCCTGAGTCTTACTTATTATGTTATTCTATCAGACAGTCCTTGAATTCCACATCAGTTGTCATTCCTGCTTCATTTATGTTTTATGAACACAGGTGTGGGGAAGGAAAAGGAAGCTGTATAGAATAATGGCAAGGTTCCTCAACTTACCTGAAAATAGCACAGATGTCCCCAAACTGCTATAAAACAAATGACATTGTCATCCTTATTTACTTAAAGAGAAAATGGAAATTGGGTGGGGCCATCTCTGGGACAGGAGAGTTTCCCGGGAGTCTGTTGGAGTGAGATTCCTAGCAGTGGGCGATATGAAACCTGAAGTAGCCACCTCCTATAGCCAGGTGGGACTTCCAGTGGAGGGAGGGAGACACTCACCCACCCATTAAACTTTGACCCAGCCAGAATTTATCCTGGCTGCAAGAAGTCTAGGGATAAAGATGGAGCAGAGACATAGGAATGGCCAACCCATGACTAACCTGAGATCCCTCCCATTGGAGAGGGCCAACCCCTGTCACTATTAATGATTCTCTGCGAGCCTAACTGTCTTCTGAGAGGCTTCATCTAACAGCTGATGAAAACCGATGCAGAGACCCACAGCCAAACAATAGGCGGAGCTCCGGGCGTGCTGTGGAAGAGTGGGAGGAAGGATTGAGGGAGCCAGAGGGGTCAAAAACCACCTACATAGCAATGTAAACCGGGAGCAAAAGTTGCATTTGAATGCTTTACTTAATTCAGCAGAACGGACTACGGGACGAATGCGTGGCTCCCGTTGGCTACACGGTTTCAGACTCTTATTTTGGGCCGTGAGCCTGGCCTTGAACGTCTGCGCCGCGGCCCCAGTCCTGGGATTCGGGAATTTTGCGATCCGGGCTCGGCAGAAGCTCCGCCTCCTTCCCGGGTTTAGAGGGTGAGAGCTCGGCTAGAGTCAGGGCGGTCCCGGCGGAGTACGCATGCGTGAGCCCGCGGCGGCGCAGCGCTGACGTCACGGGCGCGTCGGGCCCCGCGGCTTCCCAGCTTCGCGCGCGGGTTTCGCCGGTGAGCGAGCCCGAGCCGCTTTGGGTTCGCGGTGGGTGCCGGGCGGCGCGGCCCTGTTTAACTCTCACGAGGACCCTTCAGCTCACCATTTGCTGAAGCTTTAGTACGCACGGTTAGTGGTAGCCGAACCCTCGTGCCTCTCAGTGGTTTGGGGGTGGGGTGGGGTGGGTGGGTCCAGGCGTGGTAGTTAGGCAGCGATGCCAGGGTGCTCGGATGAACATCAAGTGCCATTTCTCTCACGGTGTTTACGAGTGCGAAGGAGGAGGCAGCCAGTACCCACGGGAACCGGGAAGCACTTGGTGCAGTGTGCACGCGCACACATGTTTTCATTGCCAAAGGAATTAAAAACCCAAACCTACATTTGCTCCTCCTCCCACGTCTCACATTTTAAAGCACCACGGTGACGTTAGTGAAACTGTCACGTCTTAAAGGTAGCTTTTAGAAGTGCTTGAAATTCAAAGGCTTCAGTGGAAAGTGATTACGTTTCAACACCTTAGAAACATGCTGTGCGTTGGTAATTGCGATAGTTATAAAATATGTTCTCTGAACACCGAACTGTACTTTTGATTAAATGTGCGTCCTCAGCAGCAAGTTGTCAGCTTCCCTAGTTGAATTTTCGTTGTACGTCACTGTGAAACAGAACTATTACGCAAGAGGGGTACCAGAAGAAAGTTTAGCCACTGACTAAATTACACAAAGTGGATTTCAGAGTTCTCCAGCCAGATTGTGAGCACAGTGATGTGTATATTCAGCTAAGAAGGTTGTTAACTCAGAAAACATTTTCCTCCTAAAAGGAGTGCTCATGTTTTATATTCAGTATCTTTGTGAAAGACTGGTTTTTATTTTACCATTACAACGGAGACTGTGGATATTTCAATGTTACTCATAATTGTCCAGCAGTCACTTAAACATTTAATTGTTTTGTGATACACTAGAATAATTTCCTGAGGTAAAAAAATAAATAGCTCTAGTCACCATATTAAAGGTGATCTCTAATTCTGATTAATACTAAGTTTAGCAATATGGTATGTAAACATGAGATAACTTTTTGGTTTGATATGCTAGATTAGGAAAATTGAACTGGGACTTTCAGGGTGGTAGTGTCTTTTACTGAACCTTCCTTTTTGACAAGAGCACCCATGTGTATGCTGAGGGATTTGGATGCTGAAGTAAAATTGGGTTAGTTTCATACTAGATGTCAGCAGGAGAATGACATAGCCACGCTGCCTCCTGCACAAAAAATACATGGGCTAGAGAAAGCTTAGAGGGAAAGTTCCAGTTAGGCAAGGATAGAACTGCAGGGCTGTGGTTGTAGCAGAGATCTTTGTGATAGTAACTCTTGGTTAGTCCTATGTGGGGACTGTTCTTCTGAATCTGCAAGTGTCATTATTTTTGCTAGTGTTACTATAACTCCATAAATTCCAATGCTTTAAAACCCATTCTAACTTTTGCTTATAAATGTTTAACATGCTCTTTATTTGCTAACTGTTTTTCTTTTCCTTTCAGGGAAAACTCAGTTGCTTCTTTTTAATGCCTTGTGGAGGCACAGCAGCTGTTTTGAAGGTTAGGCTTTAGGTACGTGGTGTCAACACACGTCATTTGTGCTAACCTTTTTACTTATTATTATCTAGAAATAGGCAACTATGTATTTATATTTCACATGGGGATGGACACACACACGTGAATGGTTTTTAATAGGTGATGTGTTTACAGTAATGTAAGCAGACAGTGTCTGTGTAAGGAAATGCTGCTTTTCTCTTTGCCAAAGTTTTGCTGTAGTATTCTCCTACTGCCTCTCATTTCTTTTCTTTTACAGGAGGCCTATTTATTCTTACAGTGAGATTTTTGCAATAGCTAACTGACGTTTGTACTTTGACTAGGGTGACCAAATTATTTTAGTAACCTTCTTTAAATTTTGACTTTAACATACTCTGTACTGTCCTCCTATCTAGGGAGAATTCTTTCCTTAGTAATACTCAAGTAATCCTGGGTAGCTAGGAAGCATACCTTGGGCATTTAGATACTACCAGTCAGTCACACTTAAAGCCTGTAATTGGTTTGGATAATCTGGACCAGTGAGTGGGATACAAACTGTGAACTTTTAAATATTAATACCATCAATAGAATATACATGTTGTTAGTACTGGGAATACTGTGTTGACCAGATTTAATGTTTGCTTCCTGGAATTTACACCATCGAGGAGAGAAGAAATGGAATGAATACTTATAAAATTTGTAATAGCAGATATAAATATCTTGTTAAAAACAAATTAAGCTTGTAGACTATAAAAACAGAATGAAATTTCTGAGGAAATCTAATGTATCTATTATATTTGTCAATTAAGAGGGATTGTCAAACAATTGAAACTTGTCTTACTTGGTTTTGGGTTTCCGGTAGGACAGTTCCGGTATTTCAGTCCATAGAGGTCTGTTTCTTTAAGCTATTATGTTTTTCAGATGTACGTCTTTGTGGGAAAGTGATCGAGTTATCATAAGGATTTTTACAAAAGAAACACACACTGATAATTAGTATCTAATCCAGAAAAGATGTTGTCATAAGGATGGCTCTTTTAGTCACTACCCTGCAAGGATAATGAATGTCTTGTGACCTGTGGATTAGTCAGTCGTCTTTTTCTTTAATTTTATGGCCGCACATCTCTTCCATGAACTTTTTGCTAATGAGGTTTAACAGATGATTTTTTTTTTTTTTTTTTTTTTTTTGTCTATTTTCATTCCCCTGGAGTACATATATGGCCATTTATCTGTTCTAGTCTCGTTCTGCCGTTGATAGACAGTTGAAGCTTTATATTTTTGGCTGCATCAGACATGCTTGCACATATTTTTAGGAGTATGCATTTCTCTTGACCATACATAATAACTGTTAGCGGCATTAGTGTGTTTGAGGCCGTCCATATATTTGCTGTTACTAAGTTTTGTCAGTGTTTATGCCTGCTCACATTTCTATCAGTATTTTTTTGAGAATTTGGACGACTTCTACAATATCATCAGCATATTGTTTTTTTCAGGTTTTAGATGTGTATTGTTTAAAAGCATATGGTTTAACAACAGTTTATATATGACTAGGACTGTGAGAAACCTCCTTTGATATGATCCTGACTGTGTTCCAAAGTCCCAGCAGGTGTCATAGTTAATGGTGTGGTACTTTAACCTTTCCCTGAGGTCAGCAATGTAACCTAGGTACTCATTCTGTTTCTCGTCCAGATAGTCTCTGTTTATTAACGAATGACAGAAAGACACCAGAAAAAGAACCACTTGGACTGCTATTAGGGATAAAGGACACTGTGTATGTGAAAGCAGTCTGTGGAAATGTAGACATTTTCCCAGAGTGTCAGTAGCAAATCATTAATCCTTTCAAATGATGTTTTATCGATAAGTATACCTGCTTTTATTATTGGACTCTGTCGGATTGAGCAAACGCCTTCACATCTTAATTCACTGAGAGTTCCTACTTAATTGGAAGTTGGGTTTTGCTAAAGACACTCATTCACCTTGAATGCTGATAATCAGTTCTCTTGATTTAGCATACAAATATGTAGTTTACCTTGAATGGTTTTTTTTTTTTCTTTTAAAACGAACTTGCGTTTTTAGGAAAACAGTTGGTTTTGATATAGTCTTGGGTTTGGTTCTTTAACACTTAGCTACAGATGTTTGCTTCTACATTACTCAGGGTAGTAGTGTGAAGCTTCATGTATGTATGGTGATACTCCCTGTAGCTCTCATGAAAAGGTTGTTAGTGGCCCGTCCCCTTCACTTTATGAATAGCTTGGAAAATGATTATGGCTGCCTTAAATGTTTGTGAACATTTAACGTAAGCCACAGTAAAGCCAATTGTGCCCAGTGACAGCTTTTAAAAGGATTGATTGATTGATTGATTGATTGATTGATTGATTGATTTTGCAGTGTTTTGCCTGCACGCCAGAAGAGGGCACCAGATCTCACTATAGATGGCTGAGCCACCATATGGTTACTGGGAATTGAACTCAGGACCTTTGGAAGAACAGCCAGTGCTCTGAACCTCTGAGCCATCTTGCCAGCCCGCCCAGTCACATTTTTGTGGGGGAAATGTTAACAGTAAATGCCATCATTGTGGTAGTGGTCAGGCTCCTCCAGTTTTACCTGCTTTGTCTTGAGGGAACTTTTGGCAGTTTGTATTTCTAAAGGAAATTATCCTTTTCATTAATGTTGACCAATATACCAGTGTAAAGTTGTTCTTGTTGCATTTTAATGTTGGTAAGATTAGTAGTGATAGCTCATTTCTAGCTTTTGTATTCATAATTTTCTTTTTCCTGGTTGTTTCTGGCTAGAGGCCTATTTGATATATTGCAGGTGTCAGCTTTATATGTCATTAACATTCTGTATTTTCCATTTTAGCATAGTTCTTTCTTCTGTGTTAATCTGTTAACTCTGCACAGTACACCATTAGCTTCCATTATAATTTTCAATAAGAACTTTCCACAGTATCTTTCACACCTCTTTTTTTGTATTTCCCTCTACTTTGATAATATTTAATTGATACTAAATCTTTTCTGCTAGTTTTCTTGTCTGTCATTTCTGAAAATTTTGACATTCCTCTCTTAAGCATTTTACTTTTTTTTATTTTATGTTTGTGGATGTTTTGCCTTTGTGTGTGTCTGTGCAGCACATGTGTGCCTGGTACTCTGAGAGGCTAGAAGAGGATATCAGGTTTTCTGGACCTGGAGCTTCAGATGGTTGTGAGCCACCATGTGAGTACTAAAAATCAAACCCAGGCACTATGGCGGAGATGCCAGTGCTTATAACATCTTAAGGCTGAGCCTTATCTCCAGCCCACTTTCATATTTTTAGTTTGAACATGGGTTTGTTCACGTGGTGCCTGTGCTTTCCCACTGAGCTGCAGCCACAGCCCTGCCCACTTGTGCTAGAGTTTCAGTCCTGACAGACTGAAATTACAGTCCCCTTGCTTTAGTCTCTCAAATACTAGAATTGTAGACATGTGTTATTTCACTGTGCCTGATTTCTGTTGATTTTGTTTAACCCATTATATGTCTTTATTATTTTTTTGCATCCTTCAAGTACAAAGATTTAAATTATTTTCTTTGTAATTATATTTCAAAAGAACTGCTTCTGAAAATATACTTAACTAGTTTTATATGGGTAAAACTTGTAAATAGGTTTATCTATATATGTATGGAGTTTTTATCAATTGACAAAAAAAAACAAAAGTCAACAGTGCTGTATTACTTTTGAAAAATTAGTAAACAGCTGCAAAAGTTCATGTTAAAGTGGCAGGATAATTTTATAATATAATTTTATATTTATATTATAAAAATTTTAATTTATTGTTTTAAGATAGGTTTAAAGTTATTAATGATATTCACTTACAGATTCATTTTTGATAATTTGCTAAATATGTTTTACATATGTAAAAGATACCTAAAAATGATGCTATTAAATTTGCAAAAGTCTGAAGAGTATGTAACTTAGCCATGTATATAAAGGAATGGTTTCTCCTTTCACTTCATTTCAATATTTAGTATTCAGCGGAAGCACTAAATGCACATTTCCGTTTTTCCTTCAGTTAAACTAAATGTAATTAGGAGTTACTCTATTTTATAACTCAGTATGCTCATAAGATTCTTAGTTATTTTAAAAATGCATGCCTGCAGTACCGTTGGCCAAGTAGTAGTCAAGGTAAAGATACAGCATATGAATAGTATTCAAGACTGAGTAGGAGTACTCCCAAGCAGAGTTATAAAAAATGTAAAAAAAAAAAAAAAAATCATTGCAACATATTACCATAATTGAATAAAGGGGAAACATGGAATGGTTATATCAGTTGATGCAGAAATCATGTATTTGACAAATCTCAGCACTTTTCATGATAGTAAAATTCAGAAAGTTAGAAGGCTACTTGCTTGTTATGATAAAGAACATTTATGAAAAATAAAACTACATGTTCAGGAATATAGAGGTCAAAGGACAACTTGTGGAGTTGTCCTCTCCTTCCACCATGTGGTCCCTACAATCAAATTCAAGTGATCAAGCTCGGCATCAGCTTCTTTAGCTACTTGATTCACTTGCCAGCCTTCATTATGCAAACTTTTAAACATGCACAACCAGTGAGAATTCGTTAGCAAATAACCATGCATTGGTCACCTGACTTGTGCAATGTATTTGAATTCTCTAGAGGAAGAGAACTGACAGAATGTAGATTATTTGCTTACACTGTAGAGGCTGGATGGTCCTCACGATGGCTGTCTACATGCTGGAGAGGCTGAGAACCCTGTAGCTGTTCAGTTTGCTGAGTGAGAGCTGACAGTTTTCTGGAGAGCCTTTGGAAGACTTAAGAACCTGGGATCTGATGTCAGTAAACCTCAGCAGGAGCAGCAGGAAGAAAAGGTAGGCAGCAAAGCTACATTGCTTTTTCCTTAGACCTTTGGATTTCTGTGAATCTTAGCTGGAGTATACCAGAAGAGTTTCTCTCTATGGCTACTCCTGGAAATGTCCTCAAAGACCTTCCCAAAGCATGTGTGTTACTTAACGGATTCCAGATCAATCAGCCTAATAATCAAGGGCAACAATCACAGTTATTGGTCACTTTAGTTTATCTTTTGAGTACTCCACTGAATTGAGTGTGTTATGTATTAAGGTAAATTTTATGAATTATGTAATTTAAACCATATTTCAGGATGCAGAATAGACTCATTTATCTATGCATATATGTATGTTTATGCCATAGGACCATTACGCTAAGTATTCACCTCAGTGTTTAAAAAATTTACTTGTTTATGTCTGTGCCTGCATATGTACCTCATGTGTGGGATTGGAATCTTGGGTGTTTATGAACTGCCTGATGTGGGAGCTGAGAACAGAACTGGGTCCTCTGTAATACAGAGCAGCAACCTGTACCATCTCTCCAGCCCTATCTCATCTAGCTTTTAACAAAAAGCATATGAAAACTGTAGGCATAAGGCTATTGTATACTTCAAATGCTGATTTCTGTATCCCCTATATCTGGTTGCAACCCTTGTTCTAAGAATTTTCTGTCTTAATGGTGTATAATCTCTGCTCCCCAATGGTCCCCTGCTATGTCAGTAAGGCAGATTACAGCCAATCACTGAGCAGGAGAGAGAATAGAGCTGAACTTCTTATCAGCCAGGGAAGGAGGAGTTAGAGAAGAGGAAGTGGGGTATTCAGCCACAGAAGCTGTCTGGGAAGGCTGAGGAGAGAGAGGAGCTGGAGCAGAAAAATTACAAAATGAAAGTATCCTGGGATGTAGCCTAGGGGATTAAGAATAGACTAATAACTGCCCAGTTCTTGTGAAGCAAATTATAAACAAATATAAAGAGTCTCATTTATATGATAGTCGGGTTAAGAGAGAAACTAAGAGAAACCAACACTGTTTTATAATATTAAGTGTAACAAAAAACACTTATGTCTGTATCAGTCTATGCTTCTTCCTAATTTGGGGGTATATATACACAGTCATAATTCTATATTACAGTATAAATAATTTAACAATAATTCCTTTATATGATCAAATTTCAAGTGAGACTATTCCCACGGTTATTTAATAAATTGGTTTTCAGTGTGTTTTCTTCTACCGGAATGGAGTGTCAAATACAAAACTCGTTTTGGGGTTTTGTAGTAACTGAAGGACTATCCTACATAATGGAAACTAAAACCAGCGTTGGTGGCACTGGCACAGGATAGATGATTGTCCTCCTGTTTGTGCATAGTAGTGGGTGAAGAACTTTGTTTTCAGGTTTTTTCTTAAAGATTTATTTATTTATTATTTATACAGCATTCTGCCTCCATGAGTGCCTGTGTACCAGAAGAAGGCGCCAGATCTCACTATAGATGGTTATGAGCCACCATGTGGTTGCTAGGAATTGAACTCAGGATCTTTGGAAGAACAGCCAGTGTTCTTACCCTCTGAGCCATCTCTCCAGCTCGATTTTCAGTTTTTTGAGTCAACAAAAATGCCCATGATAATTTCTGCTTTCTGTGTTCTCAGTTTGAATTTTCAAAAATGCTGACTATCAATTTCCCTACCATTTTCTAGGTTGAGCAAATATTTGAGTTAGAATCAGTTGTTCTTTGGTATTATATGTTTTCTATAAATTTATTCATTTTTGTATTTCTGTATATGTAATTTTTATGCTTGAAAATGTTTTTAGTAAATAGTAAGCATGAACCACCATGGATTTTCATGTATATGTGTGAGCACAGGTGCAGTGTGTGTGTCTGTTTCTGTGTTTGTGTCTATGTGCCTGTGGCTGTGTTTACATTAGAATTTAGAGAGGGGTATGGGAGTTGATGAGGAAGAGAGAGTGGGATTGGGAGGGAATTAGGGAAGAGGCTACAGCTGCGATACAAAGTGAATAAACTGTAATTAAAAACAATTTAGAACTGACAGACCTGACATTATACAATTTTAAAGTTTTGGCTAAAATCTTACTTTCATTTAAATTATAGTGTATTGCTCTGAGGTCAGTTGAAAGCAAAGTATTTTTTACTTTTCATGAAAATGACTTATTAGTGAATATGTTTGTTGTGTTCCTAAGTGCTCAGCACATGCTGGGGAGAAGTAGAAGCTTCAGTGAGATGGGAACTTCACGGATTTAACTGTAACGAGCTGTGGTTCCTTGGCATTGTCATGTCTTGTTTCTATTGGGAAAAAGTAATTGGATAGAATAGTATTTTGGTAAGTCTGGGTGAAATGCTTAGTCTCAGTTGTTTTAGTTGTTTATTGTAGAGATTCAAACATCCTCATTGAATTGAATTTGCCAAAACAAAACAGCAATAGACAGATTAAGAGGAAACACTCACTGGTTTTAACAGTGTTCACAGTCTTAAAGATGCCACACGTAAAGGCCGGAGTTTGAGACTTTAATGTGCTCGTCTCTTGTCCAAGACATTTAGTACTCCACTAAAAGTGTCACTAGCAAAGAAAATGTGTCTGAGGAATAGTTAACACAAAGTTGCCTGCACTCTTAGTGCAGTTTTGGATTGTCATTCTCCTCCTCTGTGGCTAATCTTTGGTGGATGTAGTTGCTATAAGGAGATTGAGAGGGGTTGCTACTTCACCCCTCCTTCTTACTACCTACATTTTTATTTGATCTTACATACTTAACATTTTTAAAAACGATTTTTAATTGTGGAAATTTGTGTCTGTGTGTCTGTATCTGAGTGCAGACACTCATGGAGGCCAGTGCAACATGTTGGGGCCCCTGGAACTGCAGATACCAGTGGTTGTGAGTGCGTGACATGGGTCATGGGAACCAAACTTTATACCATTATAGATAATTTGAGCATTGTTAAATGTATAGTTAGCTGTATTTGAAAGACTGTGGTCACATTGAAAGTAACATACATGGAAATATGTCTTCTCATTTTTTTTTTTTCAGGGTTTGGATCAATCTGTAAGAGAATTTTCCACAGAAGCAATGTCTTTGGTAAGGTGATATTTAATCTATAGTGATATCCACTCATTTAAGCATATGCTTCATATTTTTTTGATTTTAAATTAGCCTACAGTAAATCAGCTTTTACATGGGGGCCATTCCAGTGGAAAACCAGTATCTTCTCTTTTTATAGGATGGCGTTGCATTATAGTTCTGTATTTACATTAACAATTTTTTTGCCTATATTATCAACTAATATCTTCATAAGCTATACATATGGTGAAAACCAAGTCTTATTTTAAGAAAACATGCAATTTTTATTAAACTATAGGCAAACTCATTTTTTCAGCTTGTATTGCAGCAGGTTATTTTATGCCGAGTTGTGATTTAACAAATTGTTTTTAAAAAGATTTCTATACTTTTTAAACCAATTTTTCTTTGGTTTATAAAATTTGTAATCTATTAGCAGTAGGAAAGTTGCCATTTTTGCAGGTTGGATAATCACAGCTGAATGTAACAAGAAAGGAGGCAATACATTAATAACATTTAATAAATGTGTTCTACCTTTTTATTTATTATTACTGTTTCTGTGTATGTGTATATGCCTGTTTGAGTTTATGTATACCACTTCTGTGCAGGAGCACACAGAGTCCAAAAGGCATTGCATCTTCTGGAACTGGAGATATAGATGTTTGTGAGCCACTCAATCTGGGTGCTGGACACCAAACCTTAGTCCCATGCAAGAGCAGTAAGCCATCTTAAACTACTGTGTGTGGACACAGGAAGGACATGTAAATGGCAGCAGTTGATGATCAGGTGTCTTATTTATCACTGTCCACTGTACAGTCTAAAACAGGATATCACACTAAAACAGTTTGCTAACTCTAGTCTAGTTGGCCAGCTTGCTCCTGGGTCCTCCGTCTGCTTCCAGAGTGCTGTGATTACAGCTGGGCCGCCAAAGCCACCCAGCTCTTACAGGGTGTTCCATTCCTTACATGCATTGACTGGTGTGTCAGCTGCTGAGCCATCTCCCCAGCCCTGCTAGGTACATGTTCATCCTTCGGGCATAATTGTCTGGATTTCTGTCCACTGCTTTAAATTATATTTCATTTAACCCATTTTTTTAGGGATGGGGTTTGTTTTTGTTTGAGGAGAGGTTATGGTACTGTTTTCTTTGGGGTGGGGGTTGATTGGTTCTAGGGATTAAACCAAGACTCTTGTATGTGGCAGCCAACACTATCTCTGAGGCCATCCTCAGTCCGTAGAACTCATATTCTTTTGTCCCACTGAATAATCAGCTTTGCCTTAAGCTGTCAAGACATAGTAGAAGCCTTTCATGTCTTTGGGGAAATTCAGATAGGTGACCTATGTGCTAAAGGGTTTTTGAAGATGTCATCAGATTATCCTTAGGGTATTGTGTCCTGTAGCTTTCTCATGGATATGTTTTAGTACAGTAGAATAAATGAGTCCTCGGTCTACGCTGTCTAATACTGCAGCAGCTGGACATGAGGCTATTAAAATCAAAACTTACAGCGAAGTGTTGGCACATGCTATATACTCTCAGCATGGCAGAACTCAGTGAAGCCTCAAGTCAGGAAAGGAAATCTCATTTTATAGCTGCACTGGTCATGTTTAAATCTTCCGTTTGCCGTCGTGTTGGCCAGACAGTCGCCTTATCACACTAGGTCCTATTCTACAGGGATATTCTAGTTCTCTCGGGACTACTCCTCGAGCAGTAAAGTGCCCCAGTAAGCACTTCATTGAAATAGAAAAGAAAAAGGAGACTATCTTAGGGCACGATGGGATGCTACACCAATAGAACTGTATTTCTATTGCTGTAGATATTAGACACTTTGCACCAGCTTCTCAGACTGTTTTCAGATCCCTGATAGAATGTTATGTCCAAGTGCTTGCAAGTGCTGTTTGCTTTGTGGGTTTTGTTCATGTTTCCATGTTCCTACCTATCAGCAATAGACACTTATGTCTTACTCCCATTTCCTAACTGTCTACTAACAACATTTGTCTCAAGTTCAAAGTGATTTAGAGGTCCTCTTCTACCTGCAGTCTTGTGTTAGGGCATCATCCTTTACTGTCAGCAGGAGAAGCAAATTGTTACTCAGGTTGGTCTTATTTGGAAGTATTATGTAAATGTGTTTATGATGTTCATGGATAACTCACATTCAGAAATAATGAACCCAACTTGTAAAAGAACAACTAATCAGTTTAACAGAAAAATCAGTTAACTTATTTATATTGAAAAAAAGGCAGTGTTGTCACTGAGTTTTTTATCTCATCCATTCTGATGGGTGTGAGATGTCATCTCAGAGTCGTTTTGATTTGCATTTCCCTGATGACTAAGGACACTGATCATTTCTTTTTTAATTAATTACTTTTTTATTAATTACATTTTATTCACCTTTATCCCAGCTGTAGTACCCTCCGTCATCCCCTCCCAATCTAACTCTTCCTCCTTCTTTTCCTCCCATGTCCCTCCTCCATTCCACTGATAGAGGAAGTCTTCCTCTCCTTCTGTCTGACCCTAGCCTATCAGGTCTCATCAGGACTGACTACACTGTCGTCCTCTGTGGCCTGGTAAGGCTGCTTCCTGCTCACGCTCACCGAGCAGGTTATTAAAGCAGATGCTGAGACTCACTCAAACTTTGGGCAGCGTGCGGGGAATCTTATGAAAGAAGGGGGAGATAGAAAAACCTGGAGGGGACAGGAGCTCCACAAGGAGAGCAACAGAACCAAAAAATCTGGGCCCAAGGGTCTTTTCTGAGACTGATACTCCAACCAAGGACCATTCATGGAGATAACCTAAAACCTCTGCACAGATGTAGCCCATGGCAGCTTAGTGTCCAAGTGTGTTACCTAGTATGGGGAATAGGGGCTGTCTCTGGCATGAACTCAGGGGCTGGCTCATTGATCGTTTCTTTAAGTACTTACCTACCATTCGGAGTTCCTCTGTTGAGAATCCTCTGTTTAACTCTGTACCCCGTTTTTCAATTGTAATATTTGGTTTGTTGGTGTTTAATTTCTTGAGTTCTATATGTATTCTGGCAAGGATGTGGAGAAAAAGGAACACCCCTCCATTGCTGGTGGGAGTGCAAACTTGTATGACCACTTTGGAAATCAATTTGGCACTTTCTCAGAAAACTGGGAATAGCCATACCTCAAGACCCAGCTATACCATTTCTGGGTGTACACTGAAAGATGTTCCACCATACAAGGAAATTTGCTCAACTATGTTCATAGCAGTTTTATTCACAATGGCCAGAAACTGGAAACAACATCAATGTCCCTCAGCTGAGGAACAGATACAGAAACTGTGGTTCATTTACACAGTAGAATACTACTCAGCAATTAAAAACAAAGAAATCATGAAATTTGCAGACAAATGGATGGAACTAGAAAAGATCATCCTGAGTAAGGTAACATAGACCCAGAAAGATACACATGGTGTATAGTCCTTCATAAGCGGATTTTAGTCTTATGGTACAGGATAGACATACTACAGTGCACAGACCCCAAGAAGATAAGCCCGATGGGTATCTTAGGCTTCAGTTTGGCCCACTAGTTAGGGGAATGAAGGATATCTCTGACATGGACTATTATGCCTCCTTTTTGATCACTTCCCCCTGATAGGACTGCCTTACCAGGCCACAAGGGAGGAAGATGAACTCAGTCCTCATGTGAATAGAGTAGCTGGGGTGCCTGGGTAGGGGGATTCCCCCATTCTGTGTAATAGGGGCGGGCTGACGCAGGAGGGAGGGTGGACTGGGAGAATAGGAGAGAGAGGCCTGTGATTGAGTTGTAAATTGAATTAATTAATAAAAAATTGAAAAAAGAATAGCAGCTATATAAATGGCTATATAAATGTATAGTGACTAGTTTTCATGGGATGGAAAATTACTAATTAAGGTTTTTTTTTTCTGTTTTTCTGTTTGGAATCAGTAAGCAGTTATACGGTTACAGTTTAGTCTCCTTTTAATAAGTTTATTCACTTTACATCCTGATCACAGCCCCCTTCCCTACTCTCTTCCTGTTCTCACCCTTCCACCTTCTTCTCCTTCCCCCCTTCCCCTAGCTCCTTCTCAGGAAAGGGTAGTACCGCCTCCCCATTGCCCAGGCCAACCCACACTAGCATATCAGGATGTAGCAGGACTAAGCACATCCTTTTCCACTAAGGCCAGACAAGGCAGCCCAGCAGGGGAAAGTAATCCAAAAGCAGGTAACCAAGTCATGTCAGAAACAGCCCCGCTTCTCTTGCTAAGGGACCCTCATGAAGACCAAGCTGCCCATCAACTACATATGTGTTGGGGTCCCAGGTCCAGTCAGTGCATGTTGTTTGGTTAGTGCTTCTATTTCTGTGAGTCCCCATGGGCCTAGGTTAGTTGACACCGTTGATCTTCTTGTGGAGCTTCTGCCCCCTCCATGTCTTGTGGATCTCAGCATTTGTTTCCATCTGTTGCTAGATGGAGCCTCTCAGAGAACCACTGTGCTAGGGTCCCAACTGTAGGTAAAATCGAGTTTGTTAATAGTGTCAGTGGCTGCTCTCTCTCATGGGCTGGGTATCCAGTTGGGCCACTCGTTGGTTGGTCACTTCCTTAATCTCTACTCCATCTTTATCCCTACACACCTTGTAGGCAAGTCAAATTGTGGGTCAAATATTTTATGGGTGGGTTGATGGCCCCTTTCCTCCACTGGAAGTCCCACCTAGCTACAGGAGGTGGCAACTTCAGGCCCTTAACCCCCACTGCTAAGCATCTCAGATAGAGTCATCCCCGTATCCTCTGAGGAGCCTACTCTGTTGCACGTATCCAACCTGTCCCCTTAAGCTATGCTAGCGTTCCCATTTTTCTCAGTATCAGGAACATACTTGTTAAGGCAGAATCTTGGGTCCAGTTACTTTGACAGCTTAATTTAACAGCCCAAATCTTCTCTTTTGTGTTCTTTTTGCTGAGCATTATTCTATCATAATCAATGAGCTACACTTACCTTGTATATTAAAGACTGATTAAATTGCAAAGGTATTTTCTGTCTGCACCAAAGAATCGGCTTTCATAAAAGTAACCAAGTCACCTATGTAGGTTTTTAAATAGTCATTCAGAGTGACGTGCAAGGTTTGTTTTTCAGCAGGGCAGGAGTGATAGGCTGCTGAAACTTAACATGTTCATTTAGTGACCGTGTTAGCATGGAGATGCAGCCTTATAGAGCACTTCTCTCTTCTCTTTCTTTTCCTTTGTCATTGTCTTATTCAATTGATTTCTGAATCAAAACTCAGTTTTTCTTAAGGTTAAGTAATAAATAAATCCTTTAAATTGTATATCTGTCTGTGTATGTGTTGGGGGTGATTTTGATTGTGTCTTAAGTTTTGAAGTGATGATAAATTTTAAAAAAAAACCAAAGCCAAAAATTATGTTGTTTGGAGTATTTCCTGCCAATTTACAGTATGAGTTTCATCTTTTCAGTTTATTTGTTTCCAGGCAGGCAAGAGGTACCTAAATGATAGCTGGGATGATTTAATACCAAAGAACCCGTAGAGCCAAATGCACATTTAAGACAGAAACATTGCCTTGACCTCACGGCACAGAACTCTATTGTTCCCACATGCCCCACTGCGCTTAGTCACCTCCCTCAGTAAGATTCTCTTAGGCTTTAATACTGATGGTGCACATATTTAAAGGTATTTTCTGTATTGCTTCAACTTATACACCAACTTTTGGTATTTTACTGGATTGTTATATTTTTCTTCTTAAAGAAGTTTAGTTAAATTTTAAGCTGGTTATACTTACAGGCTGGTGTGTTAATTTTGCTACTTATGAATAAACATTTCAGGAAAACTGGTTTCTATAGTAACCTTTGGATGCTGTGCTTTTTGGGTTTTTTGTTTTGTTTTGTTTTTTATTTTTTAATCTTTCCGTTTTGCATTTTGGTGTCCTTCTCTTTAGGATAAATCTTTTAATTTAAATGCTGTATACTTTGTAATTTACAGATATCACCATAATTGTCTAAAATGTAGATACTGAATGATATAATTACTGTCTTTTCTTTCTTTAGGTTCCAGTAACTCCCTATACATACACACCACTGAATCTACTTAAGGAAGGATCAATTGTCAATGTCTATGGTGTTGTAAAATTCTTTAAGCCGCCGTATCTCACGAAAGGAACTGGTAGGTATCAATGTGTGTGCTGTTTTATTGTAGAGAACTGCGTTATTGATCTCAGGGAGAGCACTCAGAACAAGCTCAGTGCTAAGTTTTAGTTACCGAACAATACGGATGAATAGTATTTGGCTGTTTAATTTGCGAAGTGAATGTGGTCTTTGGATCTCAGGGTCTTATTTAACACAACATGAGCACAGTTTTTAAAAGATTCTAAATGATGTGAAAGTATAGACTTTGTGATGAAGGTGAATATGTTAGCAGATACTAAACATCACCTTCACAGTACTGTGACAGTAGCATATCAGTCACTGTCCCCCTCAAGTCCAGAATGGAAATTAAAGGCAAACGGAAGAGACAGTCCAGTCACAGTGTATGTTGATGGAAACATTAATGTATGCCGAGCATGATCTGGTAAAGTATGCTGGGAGGAAAGTAGCGATTTTTAAGTAATTGAAGTTAAATGTCTGTACGTGTTTTTGTAGTTTTCAAAGAAAATGAAGATCCATAAATTGCATGATAATGTAACTCTTTAAACACATTTTTAAAAAGTCATACCTAGCAGTGTATCAAAGCAGATACTAAGACTCATAACCAAACCTTCAGCAGAGTACAGGGTGTCATATGAAAGAAGGGGGAGTTAGTATGACATGGAGAAGTTAGGAGCTCCACAAGGACCAAATATATCTGGGCACAGGGGTCTTTTCTGAGAGTGATACTCCAAGGACCATGTATGGATATAACCTAGAACTTCTGTTCATATGTAGCCCGTGGTAGCTCAGTAACCAATTGGTTTTACCCTAGTAGGGGAACAGGGACTATTTCTGACAGGAACTCAATGGCAGGCTCTTTGACCTCCCCAGCCCCAAAGGGAGAAGCAGTCCTGGTAGGCCACAGAGGAGGACTTTGCAGCCAGGCCTGAAGATACCTGATAAAACAGGATCAGATGAATGGGGAGGAGGTCCCCCCCATCAGTGGACTTGGGAAGGGGCAGGGAGGAGATGAGGGAGGGAGGGTGGGATTGGGAGGGAATGAGGGAGTGGGATACAGCTGGGATACAGAGTTAATACAATGTAACTAATGATAAAAATTTTATTTTATTTTTTTTCTTATCAGTTACATTTTATTAACTCTGTATCCCAGCCGTGGGATCCCTCTTTCCTTCCCCGTCCCTCCCTCCCTCCCTCATCTCCACCATGCCCCTTTCCAAGTCCACTAATAGGGGGGACCTCCTCCCCATTCATCTGATCCTGTTTTATCAGGTATCTTCAGGACTGGCTGCAAAGCTCTCCTCTGTGGCCTAACAGTACTGCTCCTCCCTTGGGGGGTGGGGAGGCCAAAGAGCCAGTCATTGAGTTCCTGTTAGAAATAGTCCTTGTTCCCCTCACTATGGGAAACCAATTGGTTACTGAGCTACCACAGGCTACATCTGAGCAGAGGTTCTAGGTTATATCCATACATGGTCCTTGGTGGAGTGTCAGTCTCAGAAAAGACCCTGTGCCCAGATATATTTGGTCCTTGTGGAGCTCCTATCCTTTCCCCATCAGACTAACTCCCCTTCTTTCTTATGATTCCCTGTACTCTGCCAAAGGTTTGGTCATGAGTCTTTGCTTTGAGTTAGAGTCTAGCAGTAGTCTCAGTAGACTCCTGTCATACGTTCAATACCAGAAACCATTAATTTAGTTTTTTTACAAGAGAGTAAAAAACAGTGAGCATAGTTTACTTTAGTCCAGTTGAAGGAAATTTAACATGTATTAATGTATTTAACCTATTATAAAACATTATAATTTATTAGTCACTGCATTAAGTATTTTTAAGTACAAAGAGTATCCTTTTTATTTTAATATAAACATGTTTAAAATGAAACAATGGGTATTATTGAAAAAAATAATAAAATACACTGTTTACATATTGCATCCTACAAGCTGTGGGCATGTTGGGTACACAGAGATGTCTTCATTGACTTCATGTTGCAAAATGTATTCACAATTGTAAATATATGCCAGTTATGTTATTGAGCAGTTAGCTGAGGGTAAGCTCTTGAGTGGGCTTAATGGGAGAAAATCTCATTTTCATATTTTACTAATGTACAGTGTTAAGAATGCTGGATGTGGAAGTAATTAGGAAGTAGACCAGGCTAAATGTATAAACTAAAGGAGTGATTTATGAAAGCATTGTTTTATTTTATTTTTAATTATTATTTGTTTATTATAATTTATTCACTTTGTATCCCAGCTGTAGTCCCCTCCCTCATCTCCTCACACTCTTACCCTCTCTCTCTCTTCTCCTCCTATGCCCTTCCCCTAGTCCATGGATAGGGGAGGTCCTCCTCCCCTTTTATCTGACCCTAGCTTATCAGCTTTCATCAGGACTGGCTACATTGCCTTTCTCTGTGGCCTGACAAGGCTGCTCCCCACTTAGGGTGAGGTAATCAAAGAGCCAGCCACTGAGTTCATGTCAGAGACAGCCCCTACTCGGCTTACTAGGGAACCAGAGCTGCCATGGGCTACATCTGAGCAGGGGTTCTAGGTTATCTCCATACATGACAGCTTTATTCGTAATAGCCAGAATCTGGAAACAACCCAGATGTCCCTCAACTTAAGAATGGGTACAGAAATTGTGGTACATTTACACAATGGAATTCTACTCAGCAATTAAAAACAAGGAAATCATATAATTTACAGCAAATGAATGGAACATCCTGAATGAGATAACCTAAAATCAGAAAGACACACAAGTTATATACTCATTTATAAGTGGATATTAGACATATAATTTAGGATAAACATACTAAAATCTGTACACCCAAGGAAAGTAAACAAGAAGGAGGACCCTGGGTAAGATGATCAATCCTCACTCAGAAAGAAAAATGGAATGGACTTCGGAAGAGGGAGAAAACAGGGACTAGGACAGGAGCCTACCACAGAGGCCTCTGAAAGACTCTACACAGCAGGGTATCAAAGCAGATGCTGAGACTCATAGCCAAACTTTGGACAGAGTGCAGGGAATCTTATGAAAGAAGGGGTGGGGGGATAATAAGACCTGGAGGGGGACAAGAACTCCACAAGGAGAACCAAGAGAACCAAAAAACCTGGGCACACGTGTCTTTGCAGAAAACATTGTCTTAAAGTACAATGAACCATTAAGCTGAAACAGATGAAGTTTGATCTACATATGAGTTTCCTAAACGTTTTCATTCCAACTTGACCTTCCTGTTGAGTCTGCTTCCCTCTTCTTCGGCATGCCAATACAGACTTTGGTGGTAATGGCTTTTCTCAATTCTGTGCTTGAAAATCATGCTATGATGAGCTGTGGGACGGTTTTACTACCAGCTCTTAGTGCCAGAGTCTGGCCTGTTAAGTTGTTCCATGTAACTTGATAGAAGATACAATCTTAAAACCTTGCATTTGAGGTGTTAACTCTTGCCTTTGAATGTTTTTAAATATTCAGAAAATACATCATTTTCAGAAGCAATTAAAAATGGCAATGTAAAATTAAGATGTTATTTGAAAACACTGATGACAGTTCTAAGTAGTATAATCATTCTTCTCCTGATCATAGTAAATCATGAATAAAAAGGAATGCCATGGAGAGACATAATTATTTAGTATGTATGCTTATGCTTTGTATTTCTATCAGATATATGTAGTTGAATCCAGTGCCTTAGTAAAAATTCATGGCTAGTAATGAACCATCTGTTATTTCAGGGATAATATGTTGCTGTGTTTCTTTTGAGATACTGAATTAAAATGAATGCCATCAACTTTTTCTGAACAGTCACTGGAAACTTTCAAATCCTTCCTTCAGACATAGCATGATGTCTTCACTCCAGCAAGACAGGCAGTGAGGTTTTAAAACTATCCATGCTGCAGTTTTAGTTACAGCTGCATTTTTATTTCTATTGACCGAGCTCATTCTTCAACAGGATCGAGTGCGGCCATGAAGGTCAGGCAAATCACACTGAGGTTGGTGTTCAGTAAAGGGTCAACTTAGTAAATACTGGCACAGAAGAGTACCAGAATAAGTTTGCTTTAACAGTCCATGGCTGTGTCTTTTACATAACGCTCTGTGATGTCACAGTACAAAGCCATAGTGTCAGTAACATCTAGATGTCTGTGTAATGAGGTAGGTAGGGAATTGCCTTTATGGAGCTCCGAGTTTGCATTTTATGATGCTATAATGTTATGTATCATGGACTAGAACTTTTTGTTAAATTTATCTTATAAATGTTGAGTTTATTGTAGAGATGGCAGGTGCAATTTGGCTTCTTTACTACTTGATTTAAAAATGCTGTTGCTTGCATCCTTAGTATTGAAGATCTATATATGACCTGTAGTATACTATCATTTCTGATCACAGTCTTTTTCTGGTATCAAAAGAACTATTTCCCAAACTTTATTTTAAGTCATGGAAGAAGTATAGCTTTTATTCCTTCAGAAGTCAATCATTCCTGTTATTAAAAATACTAACTTTACAATTAAAATACTTTTAGATTGCTGTGTATGTTGTTTGTGTGTGTTTTCTTTCCTCTGTGTGTGTGCATACACATGGAGACCAGTGAACAGCCTCTGGTGGTCCATGGAAGCTGTCTACCCATTCGCTTTCTGTGTTGTCTGAGACAGGGTCTCTCACAGGCTTGGAATGTACAGACTCAGGTGCCTGACCACAAGCCCCAGGGTCTCTGTGTCTGAGTCTCCTCAACACCGGTTATAAATGCCACCACACTAGTTTGTGGCTGATTGTTTTTAAATCTGGTTCTGGAAATCAACTTGAGTCTGCATGCTTTTTCAGCAAGCACTATGCTGACTGACCTGTCTCCCTAGCCCTGGATTTGGATTCTTTAAGATGTCATTCAGTCACTAACGTGACTCATCATGGGTGTGTCATATGACCTGTTCAAGATAAAAAGGCAGCACTAAGGTCTTCATAGGACTTGGCAGATTCTTCTAGCAGTGCTAGCTCTATGGTTCTGCTTTTTTAATGTAGATTTTAAAGTTGATGGTTATGTG